ACTCACATATTGGACGAAGACAGACTAAGAACCGACATCCTTATCAACTAACCGACATCTCATATCGGTTATGACACGTCGGTTATGACATATCGGTTACGAATTAACAAACTGATATCTATGACTTGCCAGACCGACATCATAAGGCGGCGCCAACTCAGCACAAATCATCATTGCGCCTTGCCAAGTGGCGTGCTACAAGAATGAATGGCGATCAGCCGCCATTGACTTTTCTAATGTAATGATTACATTTCTGATAAATGCTGTAAATTAATATAAAAGGGAGAGAAGAAGCCCTCCAGACAGGATATACAAAAAACACCATACTATAATATTCAATAAACTCTGCTTTTCAACTTTCATGTTCTACATTAATCTGTCTTGAATACTCAACGTAATTTTCATTATATTACCGTTGTTAATTCCCATATAACAACAATTTGGCGCTAGAAGGAGGGCTTAAGTTTTTGAGGTTAGCTTTCGCCACTGTAGCCATTATTCGCTCAAATCTCCCATGTCGCAATCTGGTCGAGAACACGCCTCCCACGCTGGTCAAAGTCATGCCACGAATCGTTCTCCAAGGAGTGCAACACCGTCACCTCCGGTAACCAATATCGATAGTTTTCTTCAAAACCCGGAGTTTATTCAGGGGTTGACATCGCTTATAGCCCGGGCTATTCCCAGAACTTCAAACACTATACCAACGCCTACACCTTTTCCCACGAACCCAACAAAACATCCAAATCTTTCTCATCATGACCAAGAGACACATATAGCAGTATCACATGCTACTTCTCAACCACGTCATACTTCTCAACATCAAGATGATATGACTCGTGTAACCGCTAATCCTGTATTAAATAACCGAATCACAAACGAGCTCCTTGCACAAGAAATGACTGCTGAAAGCCATTCTGCTCATCGTCAGAGAATTCCTTCACGTCCTAGACCTCCCTCATCGGTGTCTCGTGATCGTGAAGATTTACGGCATCAAATTGAACGAAATCGTGTGTCAAGACAAAGTGCAGAGGAAATAGAGGTCCTCCGTAAAAGATTGGCTGAAATTGAGACTCGACACAAATCACAAGAAGATTCTCCCCGACATGTCTCGACGTCGGGAAATGTCATCGTTGAAGCTGATTCACCTTTAGCCCCTGAACTTACTGCGGAAGCACTCCCTGGTAAGATAAAAATCCCGCAAATTGGCATGTATGATGGAACTTCGGATCCTGACGCACATTTGGGTCATTATACATCTTGGATGGATTTGCATGGCGCCTCGGATGCTTTGAGATGTCGGATGTTTTCCCTCACATTGGGGCCACGAGCGCAGAAATGGTATTACACTCTTCCACCCCATTCAATCTGGAAGTGGCAACAATTACGTACAGCCTTTCGATCACACTTCATTGGAGCCCAAGTCTGTCTTATCCCGAAAGAATCAATCACTAATATTGTGCAAAAGGATGACGAAACTGTTAAAGACTATATATCTCGGTTCAATGACCGAATTCACAATATGGAACCATGTCACCCTGAGACCTTGTTAGTGACCGCAATTGCTGGATTGAGGCCCAATTCGATGTTTCGTTGGACTTTATGTCAAAATAAACTGGCTACTTTTTAAGAATTTCTCGTACGAGCTCAACAATTCATTATCGCTGAAGAATCGATGTCGGTTCCTAGTTTCGACTTCTCGGTGAAAGAGAACAAAACTGAGCCGGATGCAAAGAAGAAGAATAAAAAGAATTTTGGCAAGGCGCAATATCGGAATTACTCGAAAGGTTATAAAGATACCCCGGAATCCAGAGCTGCCCGAGACCAATACGCCGACAACGTGAGAACATGCTATCAAACCGTTTATTCGGCCGGAGCGGCCACAATTTTCGAAGAACTGAAAGGAAAGGGAATTATTCCTGATCCGAAACCTGTAAGAACTCCTGAAGACAAGCTTGACAAAACTCGATACTGTGTACCATAAATCCCCGGGACACAATACCGA